TTGTTATTAATTTATCAGTCTGGTCAAAAACAACAAAAAATCTTAACTAATTTAAACATGAAATAAGCGTTTAACTCTTAACAACTCCAAATGTATTCTGAAGTATGGTTTATGGCCGCTCCACATTTTGAACTTTGTTCACAGATAACTAGAGACTAAATGCGTTTCTGTATTATTAATAAATACTGTTATACTTTAGTTTTAAATTCAAAGTTCATTTCCTATTAAAGCGACGTTCATACCAATAAACTATTGAAATATAAAACCTATCTGGTGAAAAGTTAACGTTAAATTTCTTCATATTCAAAACCACATAGATTTTCTTCGATTGATTTTTTCGTCATCCACATATCTATTGATTGCAGCCGGTAATTTAATATATTCAACCACAAATAATAGTATTCTTCAACGTTTGTATTATCTTATAAAACAATTTATGCGCATCAGCTGATCTTTTCGGTTCGTGTGTTTTATTGGTGGTTACGTTTTAAGTTGTCTTCCTTTTTTAATTTTTTTTTGCCTACTTGACCCACTAATTGAATGTTTTGTCGGTCGGTGACTGCTCTCAAGATATTGATGTTGTTGTTACAAAAAATTGTATTACAGCAAAGTAATGGTTGAATATTTTGTTTTCTTCTTCTTTTTCTCCCACAAGTAATCTCATATTTTCTCCCACTACGATAATATTTAATTTCAATAAGGGGACTACTATTGGTTCCGTTGTAGACGGCTTGTTATTCTTCTTCTCTCCAATTTTTTTCTTCTTCTTCTCTTCCATAATAATCCAATAAATTGTGCTTTTGTTGCACAATTAAATTTTGAATAGCTAGACAGGTTGAATAATGTCGTTCGGTTTTTGTTGATTTCCATTCATTGCTTTAGTTTGGGGTGATGGAGGAGATGAAGCTTCTACTAGCACACTTTAACAGTGGCAGACAAAATTGAAGCAACGTTTTTATAGTTGATATTTCCAAACAAAAATATGATATTCTTTTTGAAATGGATATCCTGTAATAAATTAGCAGATTATGTGACTCATTTTATGGGAAAAATGGATTTATGAAATCTATAAAAAATTGTATTTGGTGTTGGTAAACAATGATCAGCTGATTTATTACTAGAAAATTCTGACAGATGGTTGACACAAAAACAAATGTTTTTGCTGCTAGGTTATCTTAGGAATTATGGCGCATTTACATAGACCTTTTACATAATATAAATTTAAGTTATTTACACCGCTTTGAGATCATCACAAATGACAGTCAGTTGATACATAACACAAAAATTTACCAAATAAAAAAATTACATAAATAAAATATTATTGCTATTTATAAAGTCCAGTTTAAACTATAGCTTATATAGTGATGTAAATTATCTCGATTTAATTGTATAAATGTGTATATATATATATATATATATATATATTTACCTCGATTTACCATTAACCCTTTGTGGCCCAATGTTGCCCACAGGCAACAAAATGTTTTAGAGCTTATATTTAATATGCAGTTTGTAGATATATATTATTTGGATTTCATATGTCAAGATCTGATTATAGACGAAACATATCAAAACAAAAATCAAAAAAAAAAAATTGGTAAAGTAATATGCTTTTCAATATAGAGAAGAGGGTACATTTGTGTACAGTACTAATTTGTGTATACAGTTCAAATTATTTAAATCACTTCGTATTCAAAATGTACGAATTCTGCCCTCAGAATTATTTTTTATTCTTGTAAAAATCAATATAGAGAATGATATAAAATGATTTTTCTGTAGATTTTGCATTTGATTTTCTTGATATTGGACTATAATTTTCCGAAAGAATGTACTGTACCTCCCGAATGCAAGGATGTAGCGATGTCAAATTTTGTGCATATCCTATTATGATAGTTATATTAAATCTGTGAACAGAAATTTATTCTAAGACTACGAAAAAATTCGGGGCTCAAAGGGTTAAAAATTAAATCCCCTCAAATGCATTTATTCGAAATCCTGTGCGTAATCGACATAATTTCAAATACAACCCTGTTTTAGTAATAAAAAAGCATCACCTATCCTAAACGTGTTCAAATGGATACTCTTTATTTGTGTCAAAGTGCCAGCTGCTGAAAATATTTAAAAATGTTAAAAAATATAACGAATATTATATTATTTTAAAACAACACATTTTTATATGCATTTTTATCATATGGAGAGTAAATCTTTCTAAACTATGAATATACTAGCCAGCAATGTTGAATTAGAAATGTGTATGTAAACGTAAACAAATATCAGCTGACATGCTTTATGTAATTTTAATACCAGTCTCATCAATTCAGAAATCGAGTAGATTAAGAAGACAATGTAAACACGCCTAAATTAATTTGACATATGTAGAATATAATATGTCAAAAGTTGTCTGCCATTATCTGAAACAAGCATTATGTAAACGTAAACAAATATCAGCTGGCTGGCTTTAAATCATTTTAATACCAGTCTCAACAGCTGGGACATAGTACATCAATTCAGAAATCGAGTAGATTAAGAAGACATAATGTAAATACGCCTAAGTTAATTTGACATATGTAGAATATAATATGTCAAAAGTTGTTTGACATTATCTGAAACAAGCATTTATTCATTTACTAGCCAGCTATGTTGAATTAGAAATATGTCTGTAAACGTAAACAAATATCAGCTGACTGGCTTTATATTATTTTAATACTAGTCTCAACAGCTGGTATCAATTCAGAAATCGAAAAGATTAAGAAGGCATAATGTAAACTACCCTAAATTAATTTGACATATATAGAATTTAAAATGTCAAAATTTGTCTGGTATTATCTGAAACAAGCATTTATTTATTTACTAGCCAGCTATGTTGAATTAGAAATGTGTCTGTAAATGTAAACAAATATCAGCTGACTGGCTTTAAATCATTTTAATACCAGTCTCAGCAGCTGGGATGCAGTACATCAATTTAGAAATCGAGTAGATTAAGAAGGCATAATGTAAACACTCGTTAATTAACTCAATATATATAGAATTTAATATGTCAAAAGTTGTCTGACGTTATCTGAAACAAACATTTATATCCTAATTTTTGTCTGCCACTGTTGGCGAGCAATGACACAACATCTGAGATACTTACAACATATCGTATGTTATTTGCATGATCAGTACAAATCTTCTGTTGGGGTCGGGGGGTGAAAACAGAATACGGTTTAAGGTGTCTTGTTGCATTCTCTGTAATTGAATTTAGATGTACTATGACACATCATCTTCAGCAGCAGCAGCAGGAGAGAGTCAAGCTTGGTGGGGCTTTGTACTTAAACGTTTACGTGTAGATGCATAAATATCCAATTATTTATCTGTCATATTTACGAGCAATATATTTTTTTAAGTTGCGTGCTAGTAAACGGATATAATAACAACAAAAAAACATTTGAAGTGCTCAAAAGTCAATCATTCTATTTATCGACACAATGAACTTGGTGGCGTTATTAAGTGATAATTATAACAAAAAATAATATGATCAGATGATTTAGGAGGGGTGTAAACATGATCATTTTATAATTTGGGATATTATAATTTTAAATATGAAATTAAACGCATTATTTTGCAACACGTGTTTTATTTAAGCCGTAATAATAATTTTTTTTTCAATTTTTTATCAGTTTAAGAAAAGAAAAGTTAATTTTATGCTAATATTTAGTGAAGCATTATAATAATATTTATTATTTTTCTATTCGCAACTATTATTTAAACAAAATTATTTTATTTTCTGTAACAATCAACTTATAATATTAATAATGACATTTTTAATACGATCAGCTGTTCTATGACCACCTATACGAAATGTGATAAATAAGCTTTGATGTAAAAAGGGCATTATCATAAGATTAATCAGCTGATGAGTGGTCGAGCTTACAGCGCACTTAGAGCACGTACAGACTACTAAATCCACTCGATCTCAGATGTCAATTCCATAGGGTATACGTCACCTTAATCATGTTCAGAAATCCATTGGATTATATTTGACGTATACGCAACTGTCAATAACATAGTGTATACGTCAAATACAATTCGCTATGGAATTGATACTTAGAATCGAGCGGATTTAGTAGCCTAAACGCGTTATTACATACTAATTCGCTTTAATACAAGACGTTGCTATTGCCTTATGGCCGGTAACTGATATGTTTCATGTTTGGTACGCTGCTATATTGTATTTAAATTATAGGGATCACTAGCTTAAATAAACGAATAGGGCATTTTATTTTTTGAGGGAGTTTACATATAACTTTTTATCATGATTAAAAGCTGAATCAGGGATAATATTCTTAATCAGGCTGAATTTACCATGATTTATCATACGAAAAAAATATTTATACAATTTTTATGTGATTTTTTTACTTTCCAAACGATCACAACATGGCAAAAACATTTCCATTCATGTAATTTTTCTTTTTGATCACGATTAAAGGTATGTGCAAACAATTATAGTGTATTTCTGAATTTCGTTAATCGTGTCGATTTAAAATCGTATATGTAAATGTACTTTAGAGCGCTTTAGACTACTAAATCCATTTGAATTCAAACGTCACTTCCATAGCGTATACGTTAATCCTTTTCACAAATCCAGTGGATTAAATTTGACATTTGAGATCGAGTAAATCTAAACACTCTTTTAATTCGCTCTGATATAACACGTTTCCGGCGGCATATATGTTTCATGTTAGGTACGTTACTATATCCAGGGCTCACTGGGTAAATTAAACGAATAGCCTACTTTCATCACAAGAAAATTCGTATAGTTCATACATCTATTTTTTACGAAAAGTAGAGCGAAGATTAATGCCCACAATTATTAATTATAATTCGACGTCAATATAAACATTGTTTTAGATCCTATTACAATAAAGCTACATGGCCACATATCCAACTCTAATTTTTTACATAAATTAAAAACAAACATAAACTAATCAAAAAATTATATCCTCCTCCTCTCTTTACAGTGCCCTCTATGCCTACTTCAAGCTGCTGCATCTTATCAAGAAATATGAAAAGAAAAATATGACAATTGCCGATATATTCCATGCGAATGTATCGAAAAATCCCGATAAATTGGTTATTGTCAGTGAAACACAATCGTGGACATTCCGTCAATTAAATGAATATTCCAATCGGATTGCCAATGTTTTCCACAGTCATGGCTATAAGAAGGGTGATGTTGTTGCTTTGTTAATGGAAAATCGTGCTGAATTTGTTGGTACCTGGTTGGGTCTATCGAAAATTGGTGTTATTACCCCTCTGATAAATACAAATCTCCGTGGTCCATCACTATTGCACAGCATTACAGTGGCAAAATGTTCTGCTCTCATCTATAGTGAGAGTTTCACTGAGGCTATTGAATTCATTCTTAAAGATTTACCCTCAAATGTTGCCCTCTATCAATATAATGAGGAGCCACGTACTGCTGTAAGTGGTAATGCTAAGGATTTAAAGGAATTATTGGAAACCGCCTGCAAGGATAAATTACCCGCCTCCGCTGAACGTCCATCACATCATGATAAATTGTTATATATTTATACATCGGGTACAACCGGGTTGCCCAAGGCTGCCGTTATTTCACATTCACGGTAAGTATGATTGGCAAAGTGTTTATTTTATTATAAAATGTTGTAATATTTTTTTGTGTAATTATTGCAAAATTCCAGTTATCTCTTCATTGCTGCTGGTATTCACTTTACCCTGCGCTTCGAACAAAAGGATACATTCTATACACCATTGCCATTGTATCACACCGCTGGCGGTATTATGAGTATGGGTCAAGGTCTATTGTTTGGTTCCACTGTTGCCATCCGTAAGAAGTTCTCGGCTTCTGGTTACTTTGCTGATTGTGTCAAATTTAATGCTACCGTAAGTATTGTTTGTTTCTTGTTAAAATACAGATAAGAGTAGGGGTTGACAAATTTCTAGTAACTAATTGGGAAATGCAGACTTTGGACTTTGACGTCAGTTTTTCATTTGTTTGTAAATTTAACAGATAAGAGTTTTCAAGAAGGGAATGACAAATGTTTTGTAACTAATTGGAAATTTTTTGAATTTTGAACTTCAAAGTCAGTTATGAATTGTTGAATCATGTTTTATACAAAGAATAGAGGGTGATATAGATAAGTAGGTAATGGGGTGCATTGAATGAAAATATCAGATATTGGAATTATTTCAGTTATGATTTGTTGACTCATGTTGGAGATAAATAGTCGGTAATTGACACGATCTCAAATGTCAATTACATAGCGTATACGTCAAGTATAATCTTCTGGATTTGTGAACATGATCAAGGTGACGTATACGCTATGGAATTGACATTTAAAAACCAGTTGATTTAGTAGTGTAAACGCGCTCTAAGTCACAATTACAAATACAAGTTTTAGCCCGAAGAACATTGGATAGATTTTTTTTGAATGGCCAAAGTTAGTAGACTACGTATTTCCCGGTCCACACAAGTGTAATAAGTTAAAAAACAGTCTGATGGGAAACTCGATCTAAGAACGCCTAATTTTATGAAATTACTCATGATGCAATAATAAGTTGATGTATAGAAACAAAAGCCTTTGTTTTTGTCTCGACCATCTGTCAAAATTTTCCATATAACATTTCACATGGTTGGCAACATTGCACATCGAATTCAAGTAGAAATTATGCACTTTGACAGTTAATCAAGTCATCGGCTGCGCTAAATGGACTACCCTGCTTTTGCAGAAAAGTAATAACCTCTCCCTAAAGTACAGTTAAAGTACGTTTAGACTAGAGCTTTATCGTGAGTGATAACGTGCCTTATATCGATTGAATTGCTAAATCGAGTTAAATTTATAATTTTTTTTCCACTAGTTATCTTGATTTGACTGAAATCATACGCTAAATGGAGATAATTTCAAATACAACCCTGTTTTTCCAAAAATGAAATAATGACTTCTCCCTAAAGTATAAAAGTGTTTTGGAAACTTCCACCTCTGTTATGAACACATGTTAAATTTTGTTTCGATTTGGCAACTCCTTCATATAGAAACATGTGTTCAAAAAAGATGCATCCGCAATTTTTTACAATGGAAAAATTAGAAATGCGTTCTTTAATTAAAAAAAATTGCGGACGAGTCTTTTTTGAACAAATGTTTCTATATGAAGGTGTTGCCAGATCGAAACAAAATTTAACATGTGTTCATAAAAGAGATGGAAGTTTCCAAAACACTTAATTTTTTCCTGTTTATACCGCGCTTTCTGTGCTAGGTCAAGAACTTTCCGAACTGTATTCTTATTTAGAAAAAAAAATTACTGACATTCATTCAAACAGCTGACTAAAATTAGGGTGGTTCACATTTGTAATTTTTTTGCGATCGAGGTTGTTTAACGACGATCCTAATCTCGTGATTTATTTAAATTATTTATAAAAACCTGATATTTTTTAAAAATTCACTTAAATTCGTTCGAAAAAACAGGCTAAAAATAAGAAAATTCACATGTAGGAATTCTTTACAGATCAAGGAGGTTTATAAAAGCTGTGTTCCCAAACCTGCAATATAGTACTATATTGTACTAGTTTTGGAATTTTGCTAGAAAAGCATTCCCTTACGCCGAAAAGTAGCAAAAATTGAAGTTAAATTTAAGAGAGTTAAAACCAAAATGGCGTTCTCTTCTCCTATTTTCTGCAAGACCAATTTGGCCTAGCACGAAATAGTAAGTGTAGTAAATTGTGAATTTGACATTTGATTGCCAGAGATATACAGTCCGAAATAAAGCATATGAAAGTTAGCGCTTCAACAAAAGGGACACGCGCACACACATTTGCTTGAAAATAAAACCAAATAAGAAATTTAAAAATTGGCAAACAGATTTTTTATTCTCTTTTGGAGGATAGTGAAGATGAATGGCTGGCAGCTCCAAGGAGGGCTACTAACGGTAATCATTTTAAAATAATCAGAGTTGCATATCCATTACATCGAAACTCCACTTCCAAATATTCGATAATGTTTTCCTATAAATTATGCACAATATAAAAAAACACACACAATGGACGCCGTTTAACTTTTTGTTTCTTTGTGTGCATTAGGTTTCTGTAGTCTTTTTTTCTTTTTTTTTTTTTTTTGTCCTTAACTGATGAAATTTTTGATTAGGACGTTTCTTCATGTTTTAAATATTTTCCGTTCCTTTACTTTTTGCGCAAATCTTGTATGTGAGAGTAATTCTTGATAGTTCGCTCTTTTACTAGCTTTACTATCAAAAAGTACGGGAACGAACCTAAAATGTTTTGAAAATAGTCTGAAATTCTGAAAAATTTTCTGAGATTTATTTGAGCTTAACATTTCTTTACTAATAATTTCCTTTTCCCATCCACAGGTTGCCCATTACATCGGTGAAATGGCACGTTACATCTTGGCTACCCCACCCTCGGAGAACGATCGCAAACATCGTGTACGCCTTGTCTTTGGCAACGGTTTACGTCCTCAGATTTGGCCACAATTTGTTGAACGTTTCGGTATTAAACAAGTTGGTGAATTCTACGGCGCCACTGAAGGCAATGCTAATATTATGAATCACGATAATACCGTGGGTGCTATTGGTTTTGTATCACGTATCCTTCCCAAAGTATATCCAATTTCAATTATTCGTGCTGATCCCGATACTGGTGAACCCATTCGCGGCCCTGATGGCCTTTGCCAATTGTGTAAACCCAATGAGCCGGGTGTATTTATTGGTAAAATCATTAAAGGCAACCCGTCAAGAGAATTTTTGGGTTATGTCGATGAAAAGGCGTCGGCTAAGAAAATTGTACGTGATGTCTTCAAGAAGGGAGATATGGCTTTCATTTCGGGAGATGTTTTGGTTGCCGATGAAAAGGGTTATCTGTACTTTAAGGATCGCACGGGTGATACATTCCGTTGGAAGGGTGAAAATGTGTCGACCAGTGAAGTTGAGGCTCAAGTCAGTAATGTGGCTGGTTACAAGGATACTGTCGTGTATGGTGTAACCATACCCAATACGGAGGGACGTGCGGGCATGGCTGCCATCTATGATCCGGATCGTCAAGTTGATTTGGATAAATTCACCGAAAATTTGGCTAAAGTCTTGCCCACCTATGCCCGCCCACTGTTCTTGCGTTTCCTTACCAAAGTCGATTTGACGGGAACCTTTAAATTGCGTAAAGTTGATTTACAAAAGGAAGGTTACGATCCCAATGTCATCAGTGATGCCATGTACTATCAGACGTCGAAAGGCAAATACGAACCCCTTACCAAAGAAATCTATGACAAGATCTGTAACAACGAAATGAGATTCTAGAGAACAGAAACAGAAAACTATTCTAAAACAAAAATTATATTTTGTTTTGTTGTTATTTAATTGTTAGACGAATTTGTTAAGACGTTGAATAATGCGTAACGCGTTGTTTAACGCGTTGCCGCTTAATTTCCTTTTGTTACTTTAGAATGGAAATGGAGTTTAAATACTGTCAAATATTTATATGTGTTAATGATTTAAGGGGAAGAGACTATTAGATATTTAGTTGTAAAGATTTTTTTATTTTTTTTTTATTTACAATGTAAACTAATTATTATTATTAGTTATTTGCGTAACAATTAAGCTAAGCATTTATTTTGTTAACGTCCACTATGGTTAACAAAACAAAAGTGTATATTTTTTTAAATAATTTTTGGTTTGTTTTTATTTTTTTGTTTTTAATTGTTTACTCCTTGATTTCGATTGTGATTTTGTGAAAAAAGTGCTAAAATTTGTTTATCTTTTTTTGTGCTAAGTTTGCAGTATTTCAAATTATTGCCTATTTCTTTATTCTAAACTAAAATATGTACAGTTTCGGCTAAAAAAATATATAAGAATTCATTAAGAAAAGAAGAAAATAAAACTTTACATAATACATTCTTTTTTATAAACATATTCGTAAAATATGGGACATCATTGTAGAAATCTGCTGATCTAAAAAGATAAAATCAAATAAAGTTTTACTTTAATATAATACGAAAAATGTGTTTTAATGTATGGAAACCAGCAACTAACATAAGCTTTTTTGACTAATTGTTTATTGCTTTAAAAATTATTCAGTTATTATCGCCGAAAACTGAAAACCATCCATTATGTCTTAGTAAAAGCGAAATATTTATTTTTTGGCAACAGAAATGGCGCCCAACCTATAAGCGACTCCTGAGTTACGTATTTGCGAAATGTCTTCGCTTACTGTAGTTCCTACATTTTATCGATTTTGACGTGCTTATAAAAGCAACGAACGCAAATGTTTGGTTGCAAATTTAATACCATCGATTTGTGGCAAACTTAATTTACTTAACAGGCTTGTGACAGAATGGTTGTACCATAAGCCGAGCTTAAAAACTATTTCCAATCGAATTCGTTGTTCATTCGGCGACGATATTCACCGTCGTCTTGTAGAGTGTGAGTTTGGTCTGGCCAGAGGTGGCCTTGCTTTTGAGTTGCTTACTCAGACCATAGTAGCATCTGTTGGCCACTATTCTTCTCCGTATTTCAAAGCTGAGGTTAGCAGTTCCAAGGGCGTCGGTCTTGTGCGCAGCTCATCCAATTTGAAAGACCGTATTCCGAGATGTTGTCTTCTACTTGATCTTTCTATCGAATTCGTTGTTCATTCGGTGACGATATTCACCGTCGACGCAGATCGGCCCATAGATCTTCCAGGGAATTTTTCTCTAAAATACTCCAAGAGCTGCCTCATCTGCTTTCGAAAGTACCCTTGGTTCAGATCCATACAACAGCTGATACTACCCATATCAGCGTCTTGTAGAGTGTGAGTTTGGTCTGACCAGAGGTGGCCTTGCTTTTGAGTTGCTAACTCAGACCATAGTAGCATCTGTTGGCCACTATTCTTCTTCGTATTTTAAAGCTGAGGTTATCAGTTCTGTTTACCACGAAGCTGTAGTTTTCAAGTTCCACAGTTGATCCGAGTCTACTGCACGTCTTGCATGTTGATACCATTAGCTAGGTCTTCTCAAAATTTACTGGCAGACTCCAAAATTCGTACATAGGTGGCTGTTACCACTCGCAATGTTCGATCATTATGTCGGCGTAGGCGAGTAACTTGTGTTGTTTGGTGTACAGAGTGACATTTCTGTTCACCTTTGCATCTCGTATGACCTTTTCCAGCTGGATGTTAAAAATATCACACGACAAACTGTCACCTTACCTGAACCTTACCTTTCCGACTTTAACTGGTGAACTTGTGCCAGTTAAAGTTATCCTGCATAGCCGTATTATTTTTGCAGGCTTTAAATACCACTGAGCAGGTTGGGCTGTCGAATGCGGCTCTATGGTCGACGAATAGGTGGAATGTGTCGATGAGTTTTTCCAGGATTTGTTGCAGTTTGAAAATCTGGTATATTGTGGATTTGCCAGGTCTGAAGCCACATTGGTATGGGGTATGGTCTAATAATGCCATTGACCATAACACGAACCTTATATGCGATGGGATGCACACTTATTCCTCTACAGTTGACACATATCGTCTTGATTCTCTTTTTATGCAGAATGCTGAGTTTCCAATCAGTGGGCATGCATTACACTAGCCAAATTGTACTTATCAGATGGTGCATGTTACTGATGGTGACCACGGGCCTTGAACAGTTCTGCTGGTAATCCATCGGCACCTGCTGTTTTATTATTCTTCAGCCGATTTATTGCTATTCTGACCTCATATTGGCTAGGTGGTATACTCTCTATAGCGTAATCTCTTTTTGGTTCTAGGATATCTTCTTCACCGCCATTATTTGACACCAGAAGATTTTCAAAATGTTCCTTCCAGATTCTCAACACGTTGTCTGTATCTGTCATCAGGTTTCCTTCTTCATCATCTACAGGAGAATGTGCCTTCACTAAAGCCTTCGGTTTGGTGTTTTACTCGTTGGTAAAATTTCTGGACTTCATTCTGAATCCTGTACATCTCGATTTACCCGCTCTCCCGCTTTTCTTGTTCTTTCTTTTAAGAATACGTTTTTTTATAGTTTTTACAGGTGATAAAAGTAAGATTTCACCAGGGTTAGCTACTTTTATACTTGAGGAGAAATGGGACCAAGATAAGCATGGACTTTGCAATGTTAAAGCTAATAATAGCCGTTGCTTGGCATCTATCATCCCCTACGTCACCTGATTTATGGGATAGTTTATTTTATTTTTGAAATAGTTTCCACGCTCTGTGTTTTCACAAATTTTTTCAAAAGAAATTTTTTAAAAATCATTTGCTACAAGAAAAAGTTTTGGTACGCATTATTTAAGGGGGAAACCCTCGTCAATTTTACAACGCAAAAGTGTGTAAAGGAGCATTAAACGGCATATACATTAGAACTTTTAACCGGGTTAACCTACTTTATGAGGATTTATTTGACATATATGCATAGGAATTGACAATTGAAACCCACTGGGTTAACGAAATCCGGTTAAATGTATTATATAACGAACGAAAGAAGAAATTTGTTTTGTATTAATTGAATTGGAACCATAGTAATACTCCTCTGGACGGTCTGGATTTTATACAGACGGATCCAAGATGGAAGAAGATACAAGGCTGGCGTCTACTGATAGCCACTGTAGTGTTTTCCAAACTGAAATCTTCGCGATTTGGAAGGCAGCTGAATTGGTAAAAAGTCTAAATGCAAAGATCGTTGAACCGGTGACTATCTTTGTGGACATGGCATCAAATCAGTCATCAAATCCTGTAACATCAGTCACTTACTAACAGATATAGGCTGTGCTGGGTACCTGGACACTGTGACATCATGGGTAATGAAAAAGCAGACGAACTAGCAAGACGAGGATCGCAATCTACAGGTTTAGCAATCGCTGACTCAAGCAAACCACCCACCTGTCACCTTTTCCCGAATTTTGAGGCGTTCTTTGCCGAACGAGCCAATGAACTTTGGCACAACGAACCTAGGTGCAATGTGTCAAGATATATCTGGCCAACTCTGTCAGTCAAAAATCAAACTCGTTATTGAACCTGAGTAAAACGCAATTTTACTTCCATTATGAAAACGCAAACAAATGGATCAGTATGTTTTTTTAAATATTTTAAAGTACAAGTTGAAGGAAAGAGCTCAGCAACTGAACCTATATAACACTCATGGTACAATTATACAAGGTAGGGTAGCTTTTGTCAGAAAGGAGAAAATACACCTCTACCTTATGGGCAATAATGTCAGAATAAATGAAAACAAATGCAACAAGTCGTTCTGTTCATTTGACATATTTTTAAAACGCATAAGATTCAAAAGGCAGTATATTCTTTTAGGTTGAAATTTAATGTTAAATGTATACGAATACTTTTTCTGGCAAGTGTATACCGCCGAAAAGTGCAAGCAATCCCTTTCGTCTAAGTAAAATCAAATGGCGCCCAATGGCGGGACAACAAGCATTTCATGGTATTCTCTACTCAATTTTGGGAAGAAATCTTAACCATTATTTTTTTGCGTTTTTAGGTCTGTGTGAAAAGGGTAAAATAATCATAACCACTTATTTCGTATGATTTTCATATAATTGACAGAAGAAACCACTACGTACAGAGATGCTTTTTTTTATTCACCTTAAGTTGTTCTACTTTGTATTATTGTACCATGATGGCATTCAATCCTTTTTTGCCTGCCCATTTTTTCTCAGTAGAAATCCGCATAATCATAGCTTTTGTCAACAAAGCAATAATACACTCCAACCTTGAGGCTTGTTATGTCAGAATAAATAAATACAAATGCAACAAGTCATTGTGTTCAAACGCGCAAAATCGAATTGCACAAAGCTGATTCATCCCACAAAATTCAAATTTTCCCCCACAGACTTTGCAAAATGCGAACGACTTAAACTAAAAATATTTTTATATTTTTGAAAATATTCCACATACATTCACTCATTATACACTACACAACTATGTTGTCAGGGTATTATAGCTTTGTGCAGCCCCAAAAGTTTGTAACGCCGCGAAATATTGGTCCTAGACCCACCTTTAAGTATACCGATCGTCATATCTCGACTTGCTGAGTTGATCTAGACATGTGTGTCCGTCCGTCCGTCTGTCCACCAATCTTCACGAAATTTTGCATGTAGGATGGGTTCTGGCCAATGAAGACCCCTATTGTTTTTGGAAAAGATCGGTTAATATTTAGGGGATGAAATGGACCAAAAACTAAATTTTTGTCTGATTTTCTGGTCGCTCCAGACGCCACAATTATGGCCCAAACACCGCGAATTTCTGCATGGAGAAGGGGATCGGGTCAAAGAATAAGCACGCCTGTTTTGATAAAGATCGGTCAATATTT